TATAACTGGCAACTAGAAGACATCTTTTAGTTGCCAGGTCTATTGTTACATTTGAGAATACACAAAAAGGGCCATGTATTATCCGTCTAGTGCTTAGGAATTATTTTCAAACGCTGAAACTATTCATTTTGATATCATAGCAGAAAATTCTTTGAGGATGATTAGATTAAGTTTACGTGAATTTGATAATAAATGATATAATGATTTTGCATGATACTATCGCTGGCGCAAGTGATAATTTCAATAGCATTACTAATGCCATAAAAGAGCATCGTGACAGCGTGAATAAGTTACCAAAAGATCACAAGAAACGAGATAGTTCACTACGAGCTTGGATCAGTAAGTCCGAACGAAAGTGAGAATGAAGAATCCTTGAATAAACAGGAAAATAACTCTTTCTCTTTCATGCGTACGAGAAGGATAAGGATGGGAAACAAAAAGACGGTTACGACCGTTTGCACACTGCAAAATAAATAATAAGTGTACAGGCTTAACCGCCTTGCCTGCTCCAAGTTATACACCATGATGACATCACCGTAAATTATGATTTGAGTCAACATTACACTATAGAGTGTATACACAACATACGACTAATGTATTCGATTGACGAAACGTTCGATATTGGTAACCAGTTTGGTGTCGGTTGCTATGTTGATGTAAGTTATCTATTGTAATATTTTGACTAAAGAATCTTCAATGACAGCCACTTGACTTTGGACTTTAACAGATCCTTGTCACTCGCAGGCAACTTATGAATACATTTCACCCATATTATCATTATTAATATTTCATTTTTCAGTTTGAAATTTCAATAAATAGTAGCTAGGTGAATTTGTTTGAAGTTCGGTTCAGTGAATCGGTTATATTTTTTTATGTTTATTACCTCATAACTTCGTCAGTTATAAATTTATTTGCAAAATTCTTTTTTTTTATCTGAAAGGACATACTTACAAATTGGTTCACAGAAATTTTATCAAAATCGGTTCAGTACCTTAGGTTTTAAATCAAAAGTGGTTTTGCCACAAGTAAAGTCAGTTTTTTACATACATATTACTGATAGTTTTAACTAACTAAATTAAGAAACGTGAAATTTTCAAAAGTTTGCAAACTTATAAGCTAAGTAAGGTTTCTAATTACATGAGCACACATTAATAAATAATTTTCCAAAATTCTTATAGGAACAAAACTGCGAGAGAGAATGGGTTTATTCGGATAAGACCCGAGAATGTTGTGTGAAATCAAAGGGGTATTCCTACACTATCCAGAAGAATAGACACAAGCAATAAAATATTCTGATCTATATCAAGAAACCTGTTAGCTACTACATTGAAGCTTTCTGAAAATACAGTGCATTCACTTCTTTTTTAAATATTATTCATTGCATTACTTAATAAGATCTTTGAAGGACACTGAAGAGTCCTGACTACATCATCGTACCTGTTTTCCTCCGGCTACCATGGTGATATATTTAAACACACGCACAGGAAATTGTCACACACACTGTTAGGGGTAAAAGAGGGGTAAGGATTAGGCGGCACTGTAGCCGCGTCTACCGGACGCGGCGGTAGTGTTTGAACTGAACGAGCGGTCGCGGCCGCGGGGATGCGCGTGCGCCCCAAGCTCAAGGCCGCGCGCGCAAGTCTCACGGACCGTCTGCACGATACCTGAACTTCGACCAATGCTCTTCCATCTCTTTCATATCGAACGAAAACGAAACAGATGCCTCACTGCCAGCAGCAAGTGCTGTGAGACGACGGCGCCAGACGCTACGGACAGCGACGATTTCGCTTTTTTTTAGCAGCTAAATTGAATCGTGATCGAATCGAGCCTACAAACAATAATACTACTGTAAAGGTATATGTAATCGTGGATTTCTCACAGATATAAATAGTGTCTCTGGTACCTTTTTTGCCAGTGTGGGTGCTCAGTGTTCTGTAGATATACCTACCTATGCGTTAAATTTTTTTAGCATTTCGTTTTAATCAAAAGACTTTACAGAACTTTCGTAATTAAAGTTTTAAACATTTTTCAAATAACTTATATAAAATTATTTGTTGGCGCCTTAAAGGCTCAACCTCCGTACCAACAAAAAATATGAAGGTATAAATCAAGTCGCTATTTAAAATTGGTAAGAGCTGTTTATAAGGAATATTAAAAAAAAGATGCTAATCACCATCATCATCATCTCAGCAATTATCTGCCCACTGCTGAAGGTCTGAACCACCTACAGCCTATACAAAGATTTTAAGTCACAAATTTGAAATTGTTATCTCACACCAAGAACTAACAAGAAATTAGATCACGGACTCGATTACCGCCTTGTACAACGCATGGGGGGTATCATGGGCGAAACAGTATACTCTGTTATTTCCATAGTACTGCTCATGTCTATAGGCGACGGTTACCACTTTCCATCAGGTGGGCCGTCAGCTTGTTTGACATTCTAAGTTGTATAAAAAAAAAAACTATTTGTATTTAGTGGTACTAGTATTGGTACAGTCATTTTCTGATTATTATATTTAGATATTTATAAAAATGTCTTTAAGTGTACTATCCATAGTTCAAATTCTGTCCAGTTTCAAACTAGACGGCACTGGGTTTTATAAAATTTCTTTTTTTTATGAATAGAGAATTATTATATTTTCGGGCATTCAGTCTCCATTTCTGGACGAAATGGTTGAAAAAAAAAATCGGAAAAAGTAAATTGTATAACATTAACTAGATTGAACTGTCCACGTCGGCGTGTGCACTGTCCACTAAGTAGATAAAGCCTGGCCTACTTTCCCGTTTCCTTCCTTTGACACACTTCAACAGCTCTGTGTCTACTGACCAGAATCATTATGTATACACGTAAAGAATTACTTCCACGCCTATGGAAATCCTTTGATAAGTCGCATATTACCATAAATAATTTTATGTTTATCCAACTATTAAAGAAAGGGAGGCAATACTTTTTCAAGTGGTACAATTTTAACGGTCGTAGTCCAATATTTTCTTCTTTTATTCTTAATATTTGCCTACGACCGTTTTCTAATGTTGCCTAAATTTTAAACAACCATTTATGCCACCGGTAATAAATTTAGAACAGTTTTCAACGATTTTGATACGTAGGAGTATATAACCTACTCGTTTATAACGTGTTGATGAAGTAAAAAAAAATTACTATAAATATTAAAATTTTGCATATTAATATTAATATTTTGGCAATTATTATATAAATTATGATTATTATTATGGTAAGTGCTGATAAATTAATATTAAAATTATATTTATGTTTTTTTTTCTTCATTAAGGAAAGATAAAATATTAATACTAACACCATCTAGTGGATTTTTTCATAAATATTATCTATGTCAAGGGCCAAACTATATCCCTCATGATTCACTAAACCGGTTTTGATATAGCTTTTAAGTTGGGCTATTCAAATTCAAATATAAAAGTTTCTTGAAAGTTATTGACCCAGACTGTGATGATATGTAACAAACAGACATTATGACATTTAAATATTTTTTATAATAATTGGATTTCATTATCTATATATATTTAAAAGACTAACTGTTAAGTTTCTTGCAGATTCTCAACAGATAACAACTTTCCAAACAATTTAAAAGTGCGTATAAACAAATCTATTTACTTTGTATATAACATATATACAATATATTTGAATATAATGTACATTATAATTTGTCGGAAACCGGTTTATTTAAGTTACACATTATTTAGAACTAGACCTTAATAAACTCAATAATAATCAAAAGTCTGAAAAGAATAAATATCGACGTCAAATGAAAAGAAAAACAAATTAATTAAATTAATATCTATCAATTTTATCATAATGTCCACGAATATCAAAACAACATTAATATTCTTACGAAAATATTTTGATTGAATGATTGATTGGTAGTCAATCAGATCACCATGTATTGCTGGACATAGAGCACTAAGGGCAGATGCCTTAACTATTAGGGAAGCGAAGTTAAGCAATAGGGGAATATGTTACTGATCTTAACTTTTAGGGAGTTGACCTTAATTCACAATTAAAAAAAAAAGAAATATACTTTGAACACTTAGTCGTATAGTACATTTTTCTACATCAGACAATTCTATTTTTTATAGGCATTAAAGACAATTTCAGAGGACTATGTAAAGTACAAGAAATGTAAAAAATATGTAAAAGTATTTAATCTACAAAAATTTTGTAAAAGATTACTCTATGTAAAAAATTTTGCGATAAAAATTATACTAGTTTGATTGCATCATTCACATGTTTAAACCCTCGTAGAAAAACATATTTAATCTAGTAGCCAGAGTACAAACTGTTTAGATTGGAACTAGATGGCGTGTTTGACATGTTCGCGGTTATTTATTTATTTTGTTGGGGAATTTTTTAACAATAATTAAAAGGCTAGAGTTTGTTTTTGGGACAAACTAGAATTAAATTTAACAAATTTAGTTTTCGGTTATGATCAGTTATTGAAAAGTAATCAAAAGACCAATCATATCAAGGCATGATGAAAACATGATAAAAATTTCAAATAAAAATAAAACATCATGATGATAACAGACAATGATAGTTATTATAATGATGACAATGAATAATATAGTTTACTTTAAATCAACATTTTTAAATTGAACATCACCACAAATTAAAAACCTTATTAATTGTAAATTATTCACATTCTTTCATACTATAAGCACAGTCTAAAGAACTGTCCTAACCGTCATCCAACGGACCAGTGTCCCGAATTGACATATAATGTTTAGGGACATGTCAAAACTATTGAACAACTTGTTATACTGTGCTAGAAGTATCATCATGCAAATGATGTTACACTCGTATAAATAAAACCAAACAGTTATTACTAATATCAACATAATATTAACACCACTCACTGGAGCTACAAGGTTTTAGCAAGCTTTACTTCTAATACTCTAGCAATTATCAAATCAGAACAAGAACTAGCAAAAACGGGGCCAAGTGAAACCTTAACTCTCAAACCAAAACTAACCAACTCATTCTCGCTGCCACTTAGATCAAGCGCGTTACTTATGTAACTAAGTATCTGAAAAATAATTATGAAAGATTCTATATTAACTACATGAACAAGACAACCTATGTCCCACTATTGCATGGCTGTGTTTCGGTTTGAAGGGTGGGATACAGCGTGAATTTACAGGGTACAGAGGAATAACATCTGAGTCCTCTGGAATGGCAACTCTGGGCGAAACAGTAACTCTGTTATGTCAATGGTACTGCTCATGTCTATAGGCGACGGTTACCACTTTCCATCAGGTGGGCCGTTAGCTTGTTTGCCATTCTAAGTTGTATAAAAAAAAAATTGGGACACCAATATACACGAGTGGAAAATATTAACCCATTATACTGGTCAGGGGGGTTAAAAAGCCTGTTCGACAAATTCTTATAGGACTTACTTTCTATAACCCAATAATATACATGTGCTAGTCCATTTATATTACAGCCTCAGCACCAGAGGTCTATTAAACTCAGCTGGTTAAAGCAAATCCTATTATGATTCATGCAAGATAAGTTTTTTAACCCTCTAACTGGTTTGATATTTAGATTTTTTTTTTGCAATTGCATTTATTATGATTTTTCTCTGATTCATGACTTACAATGTCCATATTTGGATAATTAGGCAGTGTGTCAGTCATTAACTTTCTAGTGCTGAACATGGTGGGACCACATAGAAACAAATAAAATACATATATATAAAAGCAAATTCTTGTTTCTGATGTATGTTATTATAGTGTAATAAAATAAAAATAAAAAAAAAATAATCAAAGCCTAAGAAATACATTGATTAATAAATAAATATTATCAAACAATTTAAAAAAAGAATTAGGTTCTCAATTTGGTTATCCTTTCTTTATTTATTTATATTTATTTATTTATTTATGACAACAAATGGTCATTTACAAAATAATTAACACAATATACATTACAGTTTTGGAACAATAAACTGAACAGTGCCAATAACAGTATTTTAAAAATATGAGATATTATTTATGAAGTCCCATAGAAATATGTTTGTTACCTTAAAACTCGTATCATTAATAAACCAATTTGTAATATTCTTTCTTATCTAAAATAATATGCTACCAGATTGGTATGCAGAAAGAAATTTAATTAAAATCAATTCTACTGAATTGATTAAACTAAATTAACTAAACTACTGTTTAGTTTTTAGATCAAAATAACCGGTTTTGCCATCAATCAGTGTTATTTGTGAAATAAAATCAACTAAATTATATTAACTTACATCAGATAGTAATATGAAGATTTTATGATTACAAATAAATATTAAAGTGTAGTAAATAAAGTAAATATCAGTACATTTATATAACTAATAATAAATTTGTTAAAAAATATTTATTGTATTAAGAATTAGGTATGGTATTTATAATCAATATACTCCAATCAAATGCATGCATTATAACTAGCATCCCTTAACTATAACATCATACAGCAATTGGCTTAATAATGGTAGATATTTAATATATAAATAAAAATTCCAATTTGATATTATCTTTATTTATAACAACCAATATGAATATTTTTTTTTAATATATTTAAGTCAAAATTGTTATAATTTTAGTTTATGACAGCCCATACAACAGTAGCTTCATGAAACTATCAAATTAAAATATTAGACTAAAAAATAAACTTAGAGAAATGATGCCTTAGTATCAGCCCCAATGTTATACATATTAATTATATATCTCATTGAAATAAAAACTTTCCAATAAGCAATGTTATTTTTATTTTATAATAAAAAAAATAACTACATAATATAAAGAGTACCATACAACATATAAATTTAACACATTTATGTTAAAGTCTTGTGTATCTATGTTTTTCACTCTTTCATTCCTTTTATGTACAATACAATCAGAAATATATCTTCATTTTATCTAAGTAATTTCAAGTGATAACCTATAAAATTGCAACAGTCTGGCCTGAAACACTGATACATAAGCAGCTCAGTAGTAACTTGGCACTTTTACCTTTATACATACTTAACATGTAGTACCTAATATTGTTAAATGAATTCCAATTAGCCACATTCTTATAGGACTTAGTAGTCACTATGGCATGTTATGAAAGAATAAAAGAAAAATAATGTTTGTCTAATTGTCTATTGGCTTAATGTGTTGTCTAAGCACATAGCGATGGTGAAATCAGCAAAATCACGCATTCAATAGAGATCATATTTGACCACCAATTTGACGCCCGAGAAACTGTCTCGTACATAAACAAACACTATAAAACTCACCGATTTCGGCATCTTGGCAGTATGGGATCACTATCTGAAACAAGATAAATAAATATGTAAGAATATTGACACAAAAATCCAGCGTAGATGAGTAACTGACAAGTACTCTCGTGTGCCGCGTGACATTTCCATGTGAAATTGTGACTGAACCAGCAGTTATCTATAAGCAAAATGTCCATCAGACGTTGTATATCGAGCTTATATACATATTTTCTAACAAAATAAGGAATAGTAAACGATTACAATAAAATTACAGTCACCGGCGGGGGAATTTTCGCGCAGAGAAACGATTACATAGAAACTATGACGGCATTACATTCACATATTTTGATCTACAATGATTTGTGTAAAATATACAATTAAATTAAAACTTACCCGTTGTAGGAAGAATATCACCTAATAATCCACATAAGTAGCACAACACATAAAAAGAATGCACACACCCAAGAGCCACAAAAATATTGCGATGTGACAACTGCCTGCGTGACGTGGTAGCCGGTGTTGACACATGACACTCCAATAAATTACCTGAACAGATAAGAAAAGAAAATCTATATCATCATAGATTAAGTACTAATGGTGGTCCAAACTATGCAGGTACTTATTAATTATTAACTTAATATAGCATACTAGAAAATCTAAAGTATTCATAAACTCTAGTGACATTTGAAAAGTATCAGTACTGGTAGAAGGCTGAAGAAGAAACTTCTGGAAGGCCTTCTAGTCAGCGATCAGGGGGTGAAATATTGGTCTCTGAAACGCAGCGCAGAAAACAAAATGGAAACTACTGCACTATAATCCCATAAATAGCAACTAATGGAATGAAAAAGAAAGAGGCCTGGAATAGAAGAAGATGGCTGGAAGAAGATTGAATGGAAGAAGACATGAATTAGTTGCACCGACAAGAGGAAACTCTTAAATGAAAAGAAGAAGAAGTTTTTATGTTAGAAAAGTCCAAAATTTTTTTTTTTTTTTTTTATAAATAGTGTCAATAAATCTGGGTATCGTTTATAATTAATTTTCGTTTGTTGATTTAAAAAAATATAATATTCTATGTTTTGACAAAAGTATTGAAGGAGATGAATATTTTTATAATAATAGTTTAATTTTGGAGCAGATTTTGAGCAATTTTATACAATTTTCGCTAAGCTTTGTCAAGTTGATATCACAATACATTAGCCTGCTATGAATTGAGAATAACAGCCTCTGATGATATGTCTTTCGTCCTCGTTTTACTAATTATATTTGCATAAAAAGAAAGGAGACAACTATATGATGTACAGTTTTTATTTTATGATTACTTCTATGTAATTTCTTGTTTTTAGGTGACTACTTGCACTGTGGTTATTATCATATTATTCATAGTAGTTTCTATGGTCTGTTATACTACTAATTTATAAATTTGTTTCATTTTCTCGCTTTATTTATATTTATAAAAGCAAAACAAAAGAATAACTAAAGTCACCTACTGAAATTTACATGTTGAAATGAACTAACTAAATGTTGTGTGGAATAAACAGAAATTGAGTAATGTAATAATAATACTGTTCCGGCTCATGTTTATGGATTAATTTCTATAATTTTTATCGTATTAGTTCAAAATCTTTGGTAATCTTCTTTTATTGGGATTATTTCCAATACTTATTAGTTCAATGTCTTACAGAGGAATCCTCGATTTAAATATAACCTACAATCTTCGGTGATGATCAGTAAAACAAAAAATTGTTTCGTTGTTTGATCAACTTTAAACGACTTGATGAATTAAACAGTAACTGAAATATTTACATCAATACAATTTAGCTTAAGTTTTGTAACCGAGTCATAAACCTTTTGAAAATGTTAAAAGAATTGTGATAAAAAGTATGCTGTGTTTTAATTCAGAGACATCAAAAAACAGAAGCCTATGTGTTTACCCAATTTTTTGTTTCCTACATTTGAGCCTTTAGAGTGATTTATTAACAAACATAAACATCTCTACAAACTTAATATTAGGACTCCTATAACTCTGAATATTTTTAATAATTAGTTTAAAATTTTGTTAGTACATTCCCTTAGTTTAATTTTAGAGATGTGTTTATCGAATGGTTTTACATTTACATTATGGATGAATTAATCTCATTTATTGTTATGGGAATTACTACACCTTGACTATGTATTAGAAGAAAAAAAAATGGCATCATCTTCAATAAGGAGGCTGTGTCACTGGGGTCCAATTGCTGTATTAGGTAAATTTTTAATTAATATTAACATTTTTCATCATAAAATTGAATAGTCGGTTGAATATTGTAATTTGTTTTAAGGTATAATAAAACTAATAACATGGGCAATGGTGCATCTAATTGGAATGTGGTGGCCGCCCCAGGAATCTCTCGGAGGAGCCTTGCATGCCGCCATGTTCTTGGGATTTGCTGCGGCTACACTGTATTATTTTCTCCAATCCTTACTTGAGGGTCCAGGCTTTGTGCCCATAGGATGGGAACCGGTGAGTTAAAATAATTATATTTAAAAAATATTTTATTGCACAATGGGTGATGGAATAGAAAAAATTGTGTCATCACTCCTCATCATTAGGATGTTGTAAGAAATCATTAAGGGGATAACGTACAAACCATGAGCACCTAAAAGAGAAAACTTTATTTTAAATTGTCTGACCAATGTAGTAATAGTAGGCCATATACTTTTCTTAATGTAGGTTCTTAGTGGTTATCACTCAGCATTGCATATGTAGATTACATAACATGAAGCAGACTGCTGTTTTTATTGCACATTGTACCTGCACATTGTACATTCATGTACATACTAGTTCTGTATACCTTTAGGCAAATTATTAAATCCCTGCTCTGAGCCTAGTATTAACTATTTGGCACTAAAACAAAAAACAAAATTTTACAAACTTATATATATGGATTTCAGAAGTAGGAAAAACAGATAATATCTAGATGATATATCATACACCAGATTTTAAAAAGTTGCTAAAAAACATCATGTGATTAATGGATGATCCCTAACTTGTATGTGCAGACTGCCTAACAAATAGCTAGGGGGGGGGGGGGGAAGAGATTGCTAGTAATAGGAACTAGCAACCCCATGGTCTCATATGCCACAGTCATATATGCTATCAAGTCAATAGATATAATGGTATGAATTAAAAGCTTAGTGTGGAAATAATAGTAATTTATTATTGATGTATTTGCCATATTGAGCTATCTGACCTGGGCCTCTAGACAAGTGGCAAGCGAATTCATGGATGGAATCAACATCGATAGTGAGTCTGTGAGTTGAAATGAGTCATCTGGCGTTGCTATCTCATTCTGTTTCACGGACTCGCTAGCTATGTTGATTCTATCGACGAATTCACTTGCTACTTGTTTAGAGAGCCAGCTTTCATTCTTATTTATCATATCTTACTGGTGCCCCACTAGCCTTTACTGATAGTGCAGATGGGTAACCATTCCATTATTATTAAAAAACAAAGCTATATGTCATATAGCTGTATGTTGTTATTTAATTTTAATTTATCATTTTAGGTGAAGGAGTCTGACAAACAGTATTTACAATACTGTACAGTCTGTAATGGTTACAAGGCACCAAGATCACATCACTGTAAAAAATGTATGTAATTTTTATAGACTTTTAAATTATGTATTAATAATTAGTAAAGAAAATTAGATATTGTATCATCATCATGTCAGCTTTTAACTGTCCACTGCTGAACATAAGCCTCCCCCTTGGGGAGGTTTTGCCAGTAGTTGTCTTGCTTGGCAGGCGGATTGGTAACCGCAGTCAGGCTTTGAAGATGTTTTAAGAGAAACACTGCTGCCCATCCCTTGCCCTCCCTTAGTTGGGTTTTACGACACCCACAGGAAAGGAAGGGGAAGCCTATTCTATGCCGAGAGAACACAACCAATTTGTTGTATAATCATGTTTAAATATATTTTTCATACAATTTTGTGTGTTTGTTATGAGTGGACAAAGATCCTGCTGAAAGATAAATTGTGTATGTACTTGTCGTTTAAATAAATAAAATAAAATTAACACATTTTTCAAAAGTATGCCAAATAAAGTGTGTTTTTTCCATGTTTCAAATATGTAGGTTTGTATTTATATTTGTAATTTAAATATTTGATTCTTTTACTGTGCAAATGAGGCATTTTCTAGTATAAAAACATCTCATAATAATGTAATATTGGTTTAGGCATTAAGCTGTTATACAATTAATTTTATCTTATAATTTTTGGTTGATGGTGGGCACAGATAAGAATAAAAAAAAGTTTATTTTTAGTTTAGTTTTTTTTTTTTTTTTAAATGAATGTTCTATGTACAAAAATGTTCTTATTTTTATTTTTTTGTGTATATCATTGTTAATTCTCATAGGTGGGCATTGTGTAATGAAGATGGACCACCACTGTCCTTGGATCAACTGCTGTGTGGGTCATGCCAACCACGCTTACTTCACATCGTTTCTGATCGCTGCTGTCCTTGGTTGCTTCCATGCTTCTATAGTAAGACTTTTGTTTAGATTAATTAAATAAAAAAAAAATAACTGAAGAAGACTTGTTTTTGGTTTCATTAGTGTGTGAACCCGGATGTCAGGATTATAGAAGATGCAAAATTCATCATTTAAAAAAAATGTTAGGCAGATTGCACTCTTCCTGTCATCAAACAAATTCTAAAGTTTTGACACCAGAGAAAATATCTTTTGTTTCTGAACCACGGCTCTGGGTTCTAATTTATTCGTCATCAGACAGCAGTATCTTACGTATTGTCATTTCTGGAGATAGGGGTGTCATGCCTCCATATGTAATAGTTTAAATTCATATCTCACATTTTAAACTAAAATAAACTCATTTAAGCACATAGGTTTGCGGTAGAAACATGAATGGGACAGAGATATGAGGTATCCAAGTAGGTAATTATACAGAATTTTTTTTCTCTAAGGGGTGATAATGGAATGGTAACCCCGCCTGCGCTATCGAGATACGCTGGCGGCGCACCACTGAAGAATGATAGGTGAGGATGAAGCAGGTCAGTTGGCTCATCGTGACGAATTCAACAAGAATTGTTCACGATGGTTTTCAGGAGGAACCACGTGGAGGTCGACCTAATAGAGAGCATATTGCTAGCAATGGGACTGTCAAACTCCATTGCTAACAATCCCTTTCCCCCCCTTTATACAGAATTTGTTCCTGTAATATTTAATTTTATAATGCTAGGACAAGCAAACTGTCCACATTGAATTCATAAGCAAACAAATAGTAACAATATGGTTTATGAATGTGAGTATCCAAAAAGAGAAACATCTTTTTTTAACAGTTTCTAATAACTATGAGAATATAATCTTGAGAAATGATAACGCATGGGAGTATCAAAGGTATTATTATATTTTCGCTTATGTCCATAGTGCTGTTCATGTCTATAGGCGATGTATACAATTTTCTATGAGGTGGGTCGTCAGCTTGTTTTTGCCATTCTAAGCATTAAAAAGATACCGGATCACTGTGCTTTTTACGCTACCCTTCAAAGACCCGGATGAAGGGAAGAGACCACGACACAGATCATTTCACACTCTTATGTCCCAGCCTACGTGGGAGTCTTTCAAACTTAGTTGATGTTTGTTTTGCGGTAGGTGCTCTCAATTTGCATCTACCACGCGATCCACCGCGTGTGGTACATCCACAACGGCACGGGCCGCGAGCCCATGATCTACCTGACGCTCACCACGTTGCTGCTGTCGCTCCTCGCCATCGGAATGGCGATCGGCGTCGTGTTGGCTGTCGGAGCCCTCCTTTACTTCCAAGTGAGTCTTCTAACTTACGTACACGTTCATTTGTATATATGGAACGTTAATCTTTTAGGTTGTGAATGTAACTTGCCTGTTTTTCAATGATATATATATAATAATTTATATTGTATATAATAAGCATTTTTTATTACATACTTGATTCTTGATTTTGATATTTTCGATTTTTTTTTATACAATTTGGAATGTCAAACGACCGCTTATGTGACGGAAAGTAGCAACTATTGTCAATAAATATGTCCACGCACGTTGTCTATAAAAACATGGCAAAATCACGCAGGTTTTTCGACACGTATTTCTCCTCTAAACGAGGCATCTTCAGGTAAATTATTTTCGGAATTATGTTCGGAGTCTATTATATTAAATTAAATAAATAAATAAGTCAAATCTTTTCGTAATATAGGTGAAAAACATATAAAAGGTTGCCTAAAAGAGATAACTCTTAGCAATAAGGCCGCCCATTGTTTTCTCAGTGTAATATTTTCTTGTAATTGTTTGTATTTATAATAAGTTTACTATTGTAATCTTATGGAGGAAACAAGAGTGTCTATCTATTTACACCGACCTTAAATAATAATTAAGAGTGGGAAGATGGTGGTGAACTAGTGATATGACTTTCTGCAAGATAACACCTAGCTCACTGGGGGAAGGGATTGTTAGTAATGGAGACTGAGAATCCCATTGCTAGCAATATACCCAACCAGGTCGATCTCCTCGCGGTTCCCCCTGGAAACTATCATGTTTAATTCCTGATGAATTCATCATGATGGTTTAACTGGCCTGTTTTCATTCTCATCTATCACCCTTCACTGGTGCTCCGCCAGCGTATCCCGTTAGCGCAGGCGGGGTTACCAATCCATTTTCACCCATAAAAAAAAAAAAGAACACCTAGCTCATTAAAATATTTTGATGAATTAAGTGTCACTGCCATAATTTGAAAAAATATCGATCCAGATTCGGGGCATCCTCCGCAACCAGACGACAATCGAGGACTGGATCCTCGAGAAGGCTGTGAGTCGCCGCGAGGAGCAGGCGTTACCTGTATTTGTGTTTCCATACGACCTCGGCTGGAGGCGGAACTGGGCAGTTGTGTTTGGCTCCACAAGCAACGGTCTACAGTGGCCTATTAGAGAGGGCTGCGGGGAATACGATTTGACTGTAAGTATCAGAGAAATTGAATTGTTAATTAATTGTCTTTTTTTTATACAACTTAGAATGGCAAACAAGCTGACGGCCCACCTAATGGAAAGTGGTAACCGTCGCCTATAGACATGAGCAGTACCATGGACATAACAGAGTATACTGTTTCGCCCATGATACCCCCTATGCGTTGCCATTCCTGAGGACTCAGGTGTTATTTTTCTGTACCCTGTAAATTCACGCTATATCCCACCTTTCAAACCGAAACACAGCCATGCAAACACAACTGCTTCACGGTAGAAATACGAATGGGACAGAGGTACCCAAGCAATCGATTTTTGTACAAAGTCTCCCTCTATCTTTTCCATTCTTTCTAGGTATATAAATATAGCCGGGTGGTCCCGGCATAAAAGGGCCTCCTGGTCTTTTCTCGTGGGCGTCGTAGCAGGCGACTAAGGAAAGTAAATGGTCGAGGCATAGGCAGCAGCGACTTTGTTAAAACATCACCTAAATATTCTTACTTAAGCATTACTTACTACCAGAGGGAGATTTTGTACAAAAGTCGATTGCTTGGGTATCTGTCCCATTCGTGTTTCAACCGTGAAGCAGTTGTGTTTGCATGGTTACCACTTCATCTATCACCCTTCACTGGTGCTCCGCCAGCGTATCCCGTTAGCGCAGGCGGGGTTACTATACCATTTTCACCCATCAAAAAAAATCATTAGCTTCCTGCTAAGGGAATTCATTGTCACTAAGAGTTATAGTTTGTCTCGTAAGTCTTGCGGTGTTTTGATTGCCTTCATGCCCCTGTTGACCTTTTACTGGTAAACAAGTGAGGATTAATGAGGGGGGAAAGGGATTGTTAGTAATGGAACTGAGAATCCCATTGTTAGCAATATACCCAACCAGGTCGACTTCCTCGCGGTTCTCCCTGGAAACTATCATGGTTAATTCCTGATGAATTCATCATGATGGGCTAACAGGCCTGTTTTCATTCTCATCTATCACCCTTCACTGGTGCTCCGCGTATCCCATTAGCGCAGGCGGGGTTACCATACCATTTTCACCCATCAAAAAAACAAGTGAGGATTTGACTTGACCTGAGTGTGCTGTCGGTTTGCAGCGCGAGCAGCAGGCGCAGAAGATGGAGAAGCGTCTGCGCGCGCGGCTGTTCGCGGCGGCGCGGCCGTACTCGGGGCGCTGGCTGCCGCTGCTGCAGTTCCCGGCCGCGGCCGCCGCGCCGCCCTGCAGCGACGAGCCGCGCCTGCCGCTGCGGCCCGGCCGTCTGCTGCGTGCCACGCGCCAGCGCAGGTACTGCCCTCTACCGACCCTCCGTTCCTGGGGACGTTAGACCCCATTGCTATGAATACACCCTGTCAGGTCTACCTCTACGCGGTTCCCCCTGGAAACCATTGTAACTAATTTATCGTTGAATTCGTCACAATGGGCTGATTGACTTGTTTTTCATCCTCACCTATCACCCCTCACTCGTGCCCCGCCAGTGTGTAACGTATAAAAAAAAGACCCTCCGTCCTTCGACGGAGGAGCCACAGACAACCCTCTATGTCGAGGCTGTTTCGACGCCGAAGAAACGGCTGCTCACGTAATCCTGGAATGTTGAGGCTGTGGCCCATCAACGTTTATAAATCCTCGGAACGGTGAGGTCGCTTCGTGAGGCCTGTGAAGAACCCAGGAAGCTTCTGGGCGGAGCTAGGTTGGTTGTACTAGCCACGACTCATACGCACAACGGCCCAAATGAGAGGCTAAGCGCGGAAAATAGAGTCTTTTTCACATTCACATTCCTTCGACGGGGGTCGAAGTGCGGTGGCCTAAGTCGAAGTTCAAGCCTCTCTGGAGCCTTTAGTGCCCGCCGCAGTCCATAAGAACTGACGCTTTGTCACTCCCCTCTCGCGGGCTTGGAGTACCGTCTGCACTAGCTTCTGCACACGCGCCCGGTGAAGCTGTAAAGGCCATCTGCGGCCAACAGCAAATGCGATAAGAAAAAAAAAGATGCTACCGCAGTTTGCTGCCGCCGCACCAGTCTCAATTTGGTTCCATTTCTTGTATTTACGTGAAGTCGCATCATCACCAATATAAATTATTTTTGCAATTAATTGTTATCCATCTATATTATTTGTGCGAGAATATAATTAAATAGACTATATTACGATATGCGTTGGTTTGGTCATTTGGAGAGGATGGATGAAAGAAGAATTACGAAAGAGATTTATCGAGCAAGAATGAATGGAGATGTAGGTAGGGGCCGCCCTAAACGAACGTATGTCGATCGAATGTAAGGCGACGTGCTGGAAAAGGGCCAAATTAAAAGTACCCGTAACCGGTGAGCGTTTATGAAAAGATTGATGAATGTGGAAGAAGCGAAGGTTTGTTTGAATCGAAGCATTTGGCGTTTCATTGTTTCTGCCTACCTTAATGGGAGACAGGCGTGACAGATATGTATGTATGTATGTATTACGACAAGGTTAGAAAATAAATGCGACACAAAAATGCAATAACGACAAACAAATGTCACTATCTAGATGGAAACAACGTTCAAATGACTTACCATTTTGTTTGCTAAAATTCCATTGACTGTAATATACTTGGATCACTCGGTTCCCTAAAGCATGCTTAAGTTAGCTGAGATTACCTTAAAAATGTTATAAGTACTAAGGATTTGGATCTTGAATTCTCCTATAGATGTTCGAAGCTTGAAGTGTTCTTTCAGTAACAAACCAAGTGACGCATTAAATTTCCAATATGTTTCAAGATTATGGAACTTTCAATTATTCATCACCTTTCAATTATTTAAAAATGACAACAACAAAATTTTATACTTCTGTTTGAAAAATTTTACATTAATGACACATTGTTTTTACTTTCTACCTCCAATAATTAAGTTATTGCCACATACGAGAATAAAATATTCCTATTGACTATCGAGAGTGTTGCCATGCAATTATTACATTTAAAATGAACATTAATACCATATTTATTTTATCCTGATCAAACTTACCGTTTGTTCGCTATGCATATACATCCTATATTTATAAATAGCAACTTTGAAGTTATGAAATGTTCTCACACTCATTTTTCGTTCCGTAGACACTGGCTGTTCGGCGAGCTGGTACCGGAAGCAGGTGATGGTGAGACGCGCGGGCCGCGCGGGTGGTTCCCGCGGGCCGCGGTGGTGCCGGTCGACCCCCCACCGCACTACCCCAACAAACACAAACCCGACTAGTACTAACGCCCGCTCGACGGTACGTACACTTGTTTGAAGAATCGAAGAGGGAATGGAAACCAGAGTACTGTATTTTGATAGGTCTCTCTATAAAAAAATACGAATGGGGCATTGACCTTGATTTGTCAATTCACTTCAAAGGTTAGATTTATTTATTTGGGATGACAATGGAATATTAACTCCTACTATCGATAATGAAAGATTTTATGTTTGTTTTGTAAAACAAATTGTTAAGACCACAAAATCTCACTACAATTTTATTAATAAAGTATTCCGTTTATACTAATATGAACTAGTCGGTTAATACTTAACACTCGGCGAGGGATGCCTCTTAATTTGGCGGGTTATACGACATTGGTCGTACATATTTACAATTCGTGTAATAAAGCTATTATAAACATTGTGGTCCCCATTATACAGGGCGTTTTAATTTAGTTTATAGAATATTAAATGCAATGTAACTACTTATTTTGGAAATATTATTTCCATTTTTAATTTTTTTTTTTAATTCAATATCTGTAAATGATGTCCTATTTACTTTTTATTTTATTTTAAATGTTTTTTTAGATTTTTTTGCTAAATATTGTTAATTATATTTTAATGAAATAATAATTATATTTTTACTAATAATATTGTAATTATATTGGCTGTGTTTTGGTTTAATTGGTGATATATGTGATGTAGTAGGGTATGATATGGTATAGTGTAACAAGTTACTTTAAATGAATGGCAACGTATGAGGAGTACCATGAGCGTCACAGTGTGTTCTGTGAAACTGATGGTTGCTCCGTCAGAAAGGTCGTCAGCTTGTTTGCCATTCTAGTTCAATAAAAATTATTTTAATAAACAAGTGGTTTAAGTCTACAGAGCGAGGCTTTGTACAAGTCATTTGCTTGGCCACCTCTGTCCTATTCGTGTTTCTATCGTGAAACAGTTGTGTTTGCGTGGCTGTGTTTCGGTTTGAAGGGTGGGATATGGCGTGAATTTACAGGGTACAGAGGAATAACACCTGAGTCCTTAGGAATGGCAACGCATGGGGGGTATCATGGGCGAAACAGTATACTCTGTTATGTCCATGGTACTGCTTATGTCTATAGGCGACGGTTACCACTTTCCATCAGCTTGTTCGCTATTCCAATTTGCATAAAAACTATTTTAATAAAATAACGAATTTGTAACTGTACTGAATTTGTAATTTGTAACTTAAACCATTCGTTAAGTCAATATAATATGGGAGACCATAAATACGTTAAAATTTAGATCTCGTATCTAGTGGGTGTAAATAACATTGTGTATATGTACATACAAGTGTATATTATGTATATACGTAGTCTTATATGGGCTTGTTTTAGTCAATTTTCTATTTGATGTTTTATATAAATAAAATTGTATATCTACTTGTGAATTGTTGTTTTTATTCCATCATGTTATGGCTGCTTCATATTCTATTGTCAATGTTTATTATCAGGCGTACCGTATGCTTGATTACTCTCTTTAAATAGTATTGTTCATGCCTATATGCGTCGGTTGTCATTCTCCATCAGATAGGCCATCAGCTTGCCGTGTGTGCCCCAGCATAGAATAGGCCATCCCTTCTTTTCCCGTGGGTGTGGCAGCAGCGTCTCTCTTAAAATATCTGTGAAACCTAGCTGCGGTTGCCAATTCGCCTGCTAAGCATGACAACTACTGGCAAAAATACCTAATGGGCGGCCTTTTTTAAATGGATGAAAATGTAATGGTTACCCCGCTTTTGCTATCGGTATACACCGACGGGGCATCAGTGAAAGATGATAGATGAGAATGAATACAGGTCAGTTGGCCCACCATGACGAATTCTCCAAGAAAAAACCATGATGGTTTCCAGGAGGAGCCGCGTGGAGGTGGGGTTACCATTTCATTAACATTCATTAAAAAAAATAGCAAAATAATAATAAAGCAAGCTGAAGAGCCAGTGGGCTGGTCACATAGCTCGAAGAACCGACAACCGATGGGGCAGAACGGTTCTTGAGTGGCAACCACGTATGGCTAAACGTAGTGTAGGACGACCGCCCACTAGCTGGAGTGACGACCTGAAATGCATTGCAGGAAGTCAGTGGATGCAGGTGGCTCAGGACCGTTCTTTATGGCAGTCTATGGGGGAGGCTTATGTCCAGCAGTGGACGGATGATGGCTGAAATGATGATGAATACACGAGAGGTAAATGAAACAAGTATCTATGTGTAAAACTTTATTGTGCATTATAATAAATTATCCAAATACGTTCACTTCGTTAGCACGATAAAATTAATCTCAATAAGTTAACTTACTTCGTATAAAAGGGTATTAAATTAGCCTAAAGTCCAAATAGGATGTTAATTATTATCACGATTGGTTTTTTTTTTTTTGTATAATTAATAAATGCATATAAAACCATATTTAACGCGCAAACGAGAAATCACAGATGCAAACTTTACATTTCAGTGTTGAAAGTTATTTTCCAAAAGTTTGTACTGTTATTAAGCGTTCTGACATTCATGCAAACAAGCTCACTATATACTTAATACTAATATTATGTTTCTTAAATATAATTAAAATTGACGTCACGTTTTCCAATTAATAGTACACGTGGTACTATGTAATTAAAAATTAAATATCTAACGTTATTTTAAAAACAATTTGTAATGTTTTAAAATGTAGATCAAATGGAATTAGCTGGTTTTAATTTAAAACATTGTTAACATTGCTCCCGTAGTGTTGCTCGTTTAAAAAATTAATTAGTATAAAACGCAGTGTCGTAACGCAGTTTTTAATAAAAAAACGACCCTGTTTGTTCAGATAGTCCTTAGTACTCGTTCTCCTCGTCGAGTTCTCCCTCCGTGGAGTCCACTCCTACCTCCTCGTAGTCCTTCTCGAGGGCCGCCAAGTCCTCCCGCGCTTCGGAGAACTCTCCCTCCTCCATACCCTCGCCAACGTACCAGTGGACGAATGCGCGCTTGGCGTACATAAGGTCAAATTTGTGGTCCAACCTGACAAATAATTTTATTAAATAAAAATAATAAATGAAAATTTCTTATAAATAGGTGACCTTGTTTCTCTGTGGTTAATCATATAAAATGTCAAAAAGAATGACCTCCCATGCTTTCCAAGTGGAGGATTAATTTTGTATCAATTCTGAAGTTATGTAAGAATTTAAGCTTCCAGAAACAATATACCTAGTACAAGAAGTACACCATGGACTTCACCGTATTCTGAGATAAAATGCCCGTTTTGCGTAGTGGGTTTGTCTAAAAGTGAGGTTAACACTTTCTCTTAAGGGGCCTCTCAGCGAAATGAATAACGGAATAAAATGGTGATGAATTAACCACAGAGGTTTTCAGCGATACCTCGTGGACAGGGTATTTTGCTAGTAGGGGAAGCTAGATCCCAATACTAACAAATTTTGCGATTTACATCATTGTCCTCATCATCTCAGCCACTACCTGTTTGTTGCTGAACATACCCTCGTTTGCCACCTCAGTGGTATAAAAAATAATAAAAAAAAAACACTTCCCCATAGATTGTCATAAGGAACGGTCCTGAGTCACCTGCATCCATTGACTCGCTGCAAACGTACATGTTCTGCAGTAATGCAAATGCATATAAACACATTGATAAAATTAGTGATGCAGGTAGGTGTAATGGTGATGTAGTAGGTACCTGGCCCAGGCCTCAGCGATGGCGGTGGTGTTGGACAACATGCAGACGGCGCGCTGCACCTTGGCCAGGTCTCCACCTGGTACCACCGTCGGCGGCTGGTAGTTGATGCCCACCTGATCACAATCGTACTTCATCAACATCATATTTGAAACTTATTTTTCTACATTGATTTTGCATTTTGTGCCAGTTGCCATTGTATTTGCATGGCTGTGTTTCGGTTTGAAGGGTGGGATATGGCGTGAATTTACAGGGTACAGAGGAATAACACCTGAGTCCTCAGGAATGGCAACGCATGGGGGTATCATAGGCAAAACAGTTTACTCTGTTATGTGCATGGTACTGCTCATGTCTATAGGCGATGGTTACCACTTTCCAACAGGGCCGTCAGCTTGTTTGCCATTCTAAGTTGTATAAAAAAAATACTAACAATCCCCCCCTGTCTGACGAGTTAGTTATTAGTAGCTATAATCTTAAAGCTTGTAGGAACATATTCGCAAGACTGTATAAACAGACGTTTATATTGCTAACAATATACCACATCAGGTCTACCTCCACGCGGTTCCTCTAGAAACCACCTTGACTATCTCTATAGGAATTCGTCTTTATAGGCCAACTGACTTGTTTCATCCAAACCTATTACCACCGGGGGGAAGGGATTGTTAGTATTGAGGACTACCAGTCCATTGCTAGCAATATACCTTGAGGTCAACTTCTACGTGGAAACCCTCCCTCCTGGAAACCATCGTGCTGAATTCCAGGTGAATTCATGGCGATGGACTAACTGACCTGCCATTTCATTCTCACCTATCACCCTTCACTGGTGGCTTACCAGCGTATACCGTTAGCACAGGCGAGGTTAATCCATTATCATCCATTAAATATAAACCTACTACCATTAACTGGTTTCCCACCAGCGTATATCAATAGCACAGGTGGGGTTACCATTCCATTATCAAAAATCAAATGTTTTTGTAGCGTACCTTGAAGCCGGTGGGGCACCAGTCGACGAACTGTATAGTTCTCTTCGTCTTGATGGTGGCGATGGCTGCGTTCACGTCCTTCGGTACCACATCGCCTCTGCAATGAAAGAGTTAATTATGCATATTTATATAATGAAAAGAGAGAATCAAGTCGTCATGCAAGTCCATTTAATTCAGTCTATAGCGGTGTTTCCCAACGTTGGGTCCACGCCCCACAGGGGAGCAATTTGGTGGTTAAGGAGGACAATCAAAAAATGGTCTCAAATTGATTTTAACCTTCTTGCTCCGGGCCATTTAAATGCAATGCTACGAGTAAATATCGATGCCAAATTTAACAAAAAAAAGTAACTTTAAAAAATGTTGTAAATATTTATTAGGTATAGTTTCGTTTGACGTTACCAAAATATCAATTGGGCAATAAGAGTCGTCAAGTAAACTTTGTCGGGAAAAATTATGTATGGAAGCATAAAAATTTTAGAAATGTTCAAGTGGGGCATGGCACTAAAAAGGTTGGAAAACACTGGCCTATAGTTTATTTTAAAAGAACTTGATATAGATTTAAGTTAATGTTTAATTAACCTAACCATGAGATTTAAGCAATTCACCTGTACAACATACAGCAGGCCATGTACTTGCCATGCCGTGGGTCGCATTTTACCATCTGAAATATAGAAATTAGGATATTTAAATTTAATAGTAATAATGCTTTTCCTGCTTTTTAAATAAATGCTTAAAGTAAATGAGGATTTTCTGGATAAGTGCGTTTTATATTAGGTCTTACCATTGCTTACTATCAAGTAAGGTAAGTTGAAGTGCAAATATATTTTAAGGGAGCTTATGGTAGAGGGATGGGCAGCAGTGTCCCTCTTAAAACATCACCAAAAGCCAATCCCGCCTTTGCCAAAAGCGTGGCAACTACTAGCAAAACTCCCCTTATAACGAAAGCTATGTAGGATTCAATTCATACAACAATAAGTGAATATTACCTGATTGGCGGGCTCGAAGCACGCATTAGTGATCTCTGCGACGGTGAGCTGCTCGTGGTAGGCCTTCTCTGCGGAGATGACAGGCGCATAGGTGGCCAGCGGGAAGTGGATGCGCGGATACGGCACCAAGTTGGTCTGGAACTCCGTCAGGTCCACGTTGAGCGCGCCGTCGAAGCGAAGCGACGCCGTGATCGACGACACTATCTGCACACCAAATTGTACATATTATTAGTTTGTTTTTAATAAATATTAATGGTATGGTAACCCTACCTGTGTTATTGGTATACACTGGCCGAGTACCAATGAGGGATAGGTGAGTATAAAGCAGGCCAGATGACCTATCGTGAAGTCCACCGTGAATTCAATAACAAATCAATGACAATAGTTTCCAAAGACAACAGCGTAGACGTTGATCTGACAGGATATCACGCATGGGGGGTATCATGGGAGAAACAGTATACTCTGTTATGTCCATGGTACTGCTCATGTCTATAGGCGATGGTTATCACTTTACATCAAGTGGGCCGTCAGCTTGTTTGCCATTCTAAGTTGTATAAAAAAAAAGGATTAATTGCTAGCAATGATGTAACTAATTGGGAATACCCCATTACTAACAATCCCTTCCTTTATTAATAGCTTTTACTCATAATGTAATACCCACCGTATTTTGGAAGTAGAACTATTAAAAGAAAATGTCAAACGAAACAGAACACTTGGAGCATCAATATAAAACATACATCAGATTTTAGTATAAACTAATAGATTTACACTTTCACGTTGCATAGTTTACTGTTGTTATTATTGTTGTTTATTTTCGTAAGAACTAGTTAGGCAGGCTATTGTTGTTTATTTTCGCAAAAACTAACTAGGGAGGCTGTTGTACTTCTTGTTTATTTTCGGAAAAACTATCTAGAAAAGTTTTTGTTTATTTTCACAAAAACAAGTTAGGAAGACTGTGGATAATATATTCAAAAATTTGCTAAGGAAGATATAACAATTTTAACTAGGTATTATTAAGTTTATTTTTAGCTGTACGGTTTTTACCTTTAAATACTCTATAGGTTTTTTTCAGCTTCTGAAAGGTTAACTGTGAGAGATCCCTCTATGGAATAAATTCGCCATGTGTCCGATGTAAATTATGTACAATAAAGATTTTACAATACAATAACTAAAATAATTGAAATTTATCTTTTTAAAATGACAAATTTGGGTTTTTTTTAATTTTTATCACTTTATGTATGTCTGTTTTTTTTTTTTTTTACAACACAGGGGGCAAACGAGCATGCGGCTCACCTGATGGTAAGTGACTACCGCCGCCCATGGTCACCCACAACACCTACGGCCTTTTAAAAAGGAATATGCTCTTTTCTTGAAGGTTATGTTGTCGTATCGGTTCGGAAATACTGCTGCTGGAAGTTGATTCCAAAGAGTGGTTGTGCGAGGAAGAAAGTGCCTTGAAAAACGCACGGTGGAGGACCGCCACTCGTCCAGATGGTTGGGATGAAATTTTAGTTTATGGCGGGTTGTACGATGGTGAAAATCTGCAGCAGGTATCAATCCGAACAATTCTTCAGAGCACTCCCCATGATAAATTCGGTAGAAGATGCACAGAGATGCAACATCTCTACGCAGTTTCAGTGGGTCGAGCCGGACAGTAAGACGCCGATCGTCAACAATTCGAGCTGCCCGACTTTGAATGCGGTCTAACGGAAATAGTTGGTACTGTGGCGCTCCTGCCCACAGTGTGAGAACATATTCCATGTGTGGCCTCACTTGAGCATTTTATACAGTTTCAGGCGGTTTTCTGGCGTGAAATACCGTCTCACCCTATTGAGCACCCCCAACTTTTTGGAAGCTATCTTAGCTTTTTCCTCCAGATGACCGCAAAACTGGACGTCGCTAGATATATCGACGCCAAGAATCCCCAGACTCGACTTATTATCAAGGGAAGTGCCCTGAAAGTGAGGTGATACGACAAATGGTGTCTTTTTTGCGGTGAACGCGCAGACTTGTGTCTTCTTAGGGTTAAAGTGAACAAGATTGCGTTCACCCCAGATCGAAACTTTATCGAGTGAAGTTTCGATTTCATTTATACAAGTCTATTCCGGAGCTCATCGGTATGCCCGCGAGATCTTTGCATGACCGGTGTATAATGCATCTCCTGTACTGTCGTCCGCATAACAATGAATATCACTGATCTGTAACATATCATTGATATGCAGAAGACACAGTGTTGGAGATAATCAACACAGCCTTGCGGGACACGAAAGCATTCACAGGTTTTAAGTCAGAGCATGCTCCGTCGACTACGACCTTAATGCTACGTTCCTTAAGAAAGCTGGCGACCCAACTGCACAATCTCGCAGGCAACCCAAACGAAGGTAGTTTTGAGATTAGTGCCCTATGCCACACCCGATCAAAGGCTTTCGCAATATCCAGACTAACAGCTAAGGCCTCTCCCTTATTCTCGATTGCCACTGCCCATCGGTGTGTTAAATAAACTAAAAGATCACCAGCCGAGCGTCCCCGTCGAAAGCCGTACTGGCGGTCTGAGATCAGCTGGCGATCCTCTAGGTACCGGAGCAGTTGATGGTTAATAACTGACTCCATGACTTTCGAGAATAAGGAAGTGATAGCTATGGGCCTATAGTTAGCTGGATCTGAGCGGTCTCCTTTTTTAGGGATCGGATGCACCAAAGCAGTCTTCCAAAACTTTGGGACTATACCTGATGAGTAACAGAGCCGAAAAAGACGCGTAAGAACCGGAGCCAACTCTGGTGCGCACGTCCTTAGCACAATTGGAGGAATGCCATCGGGCCCGCTCGACTTATGGATTTCAGGGAGAGAAGTGCTCTACGCACTGATCTTTGCGTGAGTTTAACATCCGGCATAGTTTATTCTACAACGCGGGATGGTCGGCGGTAGTTTCTCCCCGTCATCCAATGTCGAGTTTGATGCAAAGAGAGATCAAAGGAGATCGGCCTTCTCTTTGGCGTTCAGAGCCAACGAGTTATCCTCCCTGCGCAACGGTGGAAAAGATGACTGACAGAAATTCCCTTGTGCAGCTTTGGCAAGAGACCAGAAAGCTCGAGATCCCGAAGGTAAACTAGCCAATCTCTTGCCAATTTTACCAATATGTTCTGACTTCGCTGTGGCCAAAACTCTTTTGAAGGACCTAGAGGCAAAGTTATACTTCTTTTTAAGGGCACTGATGTTAGGATCTCGCTTATGCCACACCTTTGGCCCAGGCTAGGAAAGTTTCAGGCGAGATGCTATTCTACAAGAGGCTCCATACCAGGTCTGGGATTTCCCACCGACAGTTGTCACCACAGAGTTAGGAATAAATAATTCCATTCCCTGAAGCACCACATCGGCGATGGAATTGGCGATGGCGTTGGTGATCCCCCAGTGCGAAGCAAACCTGCCTCCATGGGTAAGATGCGAAAAAAATTCGCATCTCATCCCAGTCTGCCGACCTGTAGTGCCAAACACGACGTCTACCCGTAGAACGTGGTGGAATCGGACTTATGAGAGGCACCCGACCTCCGCACCAGACAGTGATCCGACGATCAAGCGGAGCTTCGACGGAAATCACATAGTTGTCTGGGTGGGTGGTCACAAAAGGTCCAGCAAGGTGAATGGTCCAACACATCAGTTTTATTCTCGTGGGCGAGGAAACAAGCTGCGTCAGACCATAAGTGAAGAAAGTCATGAACAGATCTTCCCGCATAGTCGGTTGTACGTGAACCAAGCCATTCGGTATGGTGGGCATTAAAATCGCCAAGAATCACGACTTCAGCGGAAGGAATCTGTTCGAGCAGGAATCTGTAGCCATTTGGACGTGCTCAATGAGTTGGTCGGTTTCGATGTTACCGCTGTGGGACCTGTATAGGCATGCATAGACGCGAGGATGGTCATTGCAGTCTACACGCAGCCATAAAATAGACAGGTCCGTTCCTTCAAGAGTTCCAAGGCGGCGACAACAGATATCCTCTCTGACATACGCACATACACCGGCACGCGAAATGTTTGTACTTTGTATGCCATCACAAAAAAAAAATAATTAATCTACGGGAAACATATTTAGTTACAAAATTAAAAACCTTTTTTTTTTCAATAATTGCTAAAAATTTTTAGTATGTTTAATTCATACTTGTTGCATACCTGTCCGATAAGCCTGTTCAAATTCGTGTAAGTAGGTCTCTCAATGTCCAGGTTCCGCCGGCAGATGTCGTATATGGCTTCATTGTCGACCATGAACGCGCAGTCTGAATGCTCGAGCGTGGTGTGAGTGGTCAAGATAGAGTTGTATGGCTCTACCACGGCCGTCGACACCTGGAATTTTAGGGCATACATTTAATGGTAATGCAAAACAAGTGTTGTTGAAGTTATTCACAGGAACATGTTGTAAATGAGAGTAACAAATTGAAAAATTCAGTCAAATAATTGATTTTTTGGTTAATTTTAAACTTTCATATTGTTTAGACATATTTTAAATTATTTAAAAAAAATATTTGTATTTCTACATTAACTGAGTGTGTTATGTAACCATATATCAATCAATTAAGGTCAATTATACATTTGTTTATATTTTCATTAACTTATATAGAAATAAGTTATACATACAAATACTTATATTATACTGATTATTTGACAAGAATACGAGCCGAGTTTCCTGTCAGTTCTTCTCATCTCGTAATCATTCCGAACTGACGGTAGATTTGACATATCATAAGACTCTGTAATAGACCTACATGAATAAAGATATTTCGAATTTGATAATGATTTTATATACTATTTATAACTATAAATATCAACTGTAACACCGTTGGTTTCTAATAAATAAATACATGTAGGCGAATTCTAAAAGGAGGTTCCCAACTTGTCTAATTTGTTAGCGACTACATCTATTGCTAATATACTCGTAGGCGTATACCAATTCCTTTTGATTTTTTTCATTGATAGGGGTTTCTCTCGTGTTAGTTCCTTTTTGTTTTTGTAATTTTTATATTATAATCTTTTTCTTTAAAGATAAAAAAAAAGAAACTATTTGTTACTTGCTTCACAAAGTATTGAATTAAAATATTCAAGTTCAAATCATCTTTATTCAAATATACTTGTTTAAAAGCATTTTTAAATGGTTTTTTTTATTGAATTAAATTATCTCAAGAAACTCAACAGTTTCTTTTAAATAACATTATGTGTATTTATTTAAATATAAAAACGTGTGCTTGATTTTAAAAGCACTTTTATCTTTCAAATATATATATATATATATATATATATATATATATATATATATATATATATATATATATATATATATCGATGTGTGTGTTCATCTGTGTTGTATATTGCCACATAGTTAAAATGGGGAACAATTCAATTACAATCATACCTATAATAGTTATAAAAACACATCTACGATCATCCGCTCCACATTTCTCTTTGCATTTGCATGTTCACTTGGCTGCAAATACCTATTATGAATTTATGAACATTCTTACACCGTCACGCTTTGGACATCCTTCGAAGCGGAATACCTAATACTTTTTTTTTTATACCCGCATTAATCAGTCATTATAATAACACAAGGAAAGTGTTTTTTAATTGATTATCTCGTAAAACATAATAAAAAATATAAAAATACCTATGTTAATATATTGCAACATCGCATGTTTGACTTTTATGTAATAGTAGCTGTGGGAAGATGTAAACTGGTCATCTCTGTACATGAAAGGGTACTTACTGGCATGGGTAATATGGATACCGATCCGATATCTATATATTGGGTTTTCCTGAATATAATAATAATATATTAATGGTGGAAAGAAACTCATTACCCATTTTGATATCGCCCATATCGGTCGGATATATATTTTCGAAATCGTTAAAAGTCTGTTATCCAATATTATTTTTTGGATAACAGACTTTTAACATATTCGTTATTGGACCAGTATATAGATATTGTAACTAAAATATATATAGATATTGCTGTATATTACCTATCCTTAGTACCTACCGAGGTTTTCCCAAGAGACTACAGCATGGGGTTCTTCAAAAGGGGGGTAAAGAGGTTTCTTCAGGGTCGGCAACGCGCGCGTAATATCTTTGGTATGGCAGGCGTTCATAGGCTACGGTAACCGCTTACCATCAGGTGGGCCGTATGCTTGTTTGCCACCTCAGTGGTATAAAAAAAAATACATAAATATTTAGTGCAAAGACAATAAGTGTGTTCATGCAGTACGATAAAATCTACATTTTATGTTACGATTTGGCATCATAATATTTCTAATTATCAAATTTACTAATTAAAAAAAAATAGACAAAAGTTAATATGTATTATACAATATTATTTAGTAATAAATAAATACGAAATGTCTATATGTGTCCGTTTTAATAAAACCCAATGAAATGATAATTAAATTTTGTTGAAACCATACCACAGAAACATTTTATAAGTAGAATTAGTAATAAATCGAAATATTCATTAAATTAATCAAATTGTAGTCGTTTCAGTTGTTCATTTGTTTATAATTTCATCAAGTCCTATTGATATAGACCACTAATAAATATTTTCTCTCACCTGAGGAGCAGGGTAGATGGAGAACTCCAGCTTGGATTTCTTGCCGTAGTCGACAGAGAGCCGCTCCATCAGCAGCGATGTGAACCCGGAACCGGTTCCACCGCCGAACGAGTGGAACACCAAGAAGCCCTGTAAGATGAGGACACGATAAAATATTAATGGATTCATGTCAAACTCTTATAATACGAACTTGAATTTAGATATAAGTTCTCCAAAATTAGGTGGATATATATATTTTTTTACAAAACGAATATAGGTATTAAACTAGTAGCTTCATCCGCGTGACCGGGATAAAAAATTAGCCTATATTTTTCTGCATTGTTTTTTTATCTGTATTATTATATCTTTTCTCCATTTTAGTGTTCCCCAAGGGTAAACGCCTCCTCCAACTTTATCCACTCCTTGTCTGTAGCAATATTTATCCAATTTTTCCTGCTGTTTTAATTATTTCATGGACCCATCTCTTTATTTGCCTTCCAACCCTTCGTCTTTCTTCATACCGTGTAATAAATTGATACTAAATTTTACAATGATTGACTTAGCCTTTTGAGTGCTAAGAGGCAACAAACAAACAATCAAACACATTTTCAAACTGACTTCAAAAATAAAGAAGTTCTTAATTCTGTTATTTTTTAATGTTTGTTACCTCATAACTCCGTCAGTTCTAAACCAATTCGGAAAATTCTGAAAGGAGATACTGACAGATTAGTCCCATGGAAATTTTATCAAAATTCCACGTATTATACATATAAACCTTCCTCTTGAATCACTCTATCTATTTAAAAAAACCGCTTTATAATCCGTTGCGTACTTTTAAAGATTTAAACATACATAGGGACGTACAGACAGCGACAGCGACTTTTATACTATATTATGTTATAGTAAAGACTACGAGTAGTAAGTAAATAAGGACAAATTTTTGTACAAAGTTTCTCTCTAATAAATTGTACATATAGAAGCGTCAGCATCACCTGCAGACCAGTGCACTGGTCGGCCAGCTTCCTGATCCTGTCGAGGACGACGTCGACAATCTCCTTGCCGATGGTGTAGTGGCCCCGGGCGTAGTTGTTGGCCGCATCCTCCTTGCCGGTGATCAGCTGCTCGGGGTGGAACAGCTGCCGGTATGTGCCGGTACGGACCTCGTCTGTGGACATCGATATTATTAGTGAAAAGTGTTCTACTATATACATATTAAGTTATCTTTTGCTTTGCACATTATTATGTACTAGTTTATTTCTAATTTCCAAAGCTGTTTATTAAAAAAAAAAAACGCTAAGATGTAGAAGATTGGGATTCGTTGATTAAAAAACTAATATCAAATTTTTTTTTTTTATATACAACTTAGAATGGCAAACAAGCTGACGGCCCACCTGATGAAAAGTGGTAACCGTCGCCTATAGACATGAGCAGTACCATGGACATAACAGAGTATACTGTTTCGCCCATGAAACCCCCATGCGTTGCCATTCCTGATAAATATTTTCTAAACTAAAACTTCATTGTCATTTTTCTTTATTTTTAATCAAACATCTATGTAAATTGATTTCATTTGAACTCAACTTTTTTCCAAATTTTGCCGAAATCATTTCATAAACATAATAAGATTTTTGCATTGAAAATACATATAAAATATAATGTAAATACATTTGTAAACTAATATAATAAAAAAAAATTCATAAGTTTCTAGAAAAAATAAATAGTAATAATATGTAAAAATTGTATAATTTTTTATTTGCATAACTCAGTATGTGCGTAATCTATGCTTTTTAATCGTCATTTTGTAATAGTCCTCTTAAGGGAGAGGAAAGGGGGGGAGGAAGGGATTATTAGTAATGGGGTCTGTTACTAACTAACCCATTGTCAGCAAAACAGCCTATCTCCTCCTCCTCCTCCACGTGGCTCCCTCTGGAAACCATCCTGGTTAATTCTAGTGGGATTCGTCAGAATGGGCTAACTGACCTACTTTCATCGTCACGTATCGTCGCTTGCGTATACCAGTAGCACAGGCGGGGTTACCATTCCATTATCACCATTAAAAAAATAGCCCTCTTAAACTAATATTGTAGGCACAAAACTACAAATTAGTAAAAAAGGGTAGAATATAATTGAATTTGCTCACATAAAAGCATGAAAGCTGAAAGTAATTTAGTCGAGACAGATGTGTCCAGACTGTTCAGATACACTTAAAACTAATTGCTTGTACTCGCTCCGTACCAAGAATTCAAACGTACATAAAGATAACAGATAAAAAGGATGTTCTGAAGTTTCGAGATTTCCATCTCAATGGATGATTTACTCATTAAATTAGTTATTACAGTGCTCTCAATAAAGACTGTTTCTATTTAAACATGAAGTTACAATGCTTATATTTATATTTAATTTATTATATATATAATATTAGATTGAACCAAGTATTTTAGTCTCTATCCTAGTCAGATATTAGTTTACGGTCAAAAATGTAAGAACTAATGTTACAAGTAACTGTCGTGAATAAAATAAATAACAGAAAAAGAGTAATTTTTTTTTTTAAAAAAAATAGATTTATTTTTATAATGTCTTTTTTTTACAACACGGTGCAAACGAGCATGCGGCTCACCTGATGGTAAGTGAATACCGGCGCTCATGAATATTTACATACATATATACTATATATATATACATACATATATGTGCATATGTATAACGAAAATTTTATGAATTTACTATATTTATTGTTTCCGACAAATAACAAGCGTCGTTGATCGTCGATCGATACAGATGTGAACATTAGTTTTAAAAATAATATTCCTATAATTAAATTACTTCAACTTTAAGCTGTTTTGTATAGTTAGATGACATATCGGGTTCGATTCTAATATCCTCCTACCCATGAAGAAAGTAAAGTTAGCATTGGGATTATTGTTTCATTGCTGAGTATGGGTTAGTACGTAGAATAAAGAAGAAGAAGAAGATTATTCTATACAACTTGCAGACAAACTAACAGTTCAATTGATAGGAAATGACAACTGTTGCCATAAGTATGTATATCATGTCCTTTAACTTAACTATCATATTCTTTTGAACCAAATTCTTCAGGTTCGGCAATGCTATTAGGCTAATAGGGTACGGTAACCGCTCACCATCAGGTGGGCCGTATACTTATTAGTCACCTCAGTCTATCATATAGTACCATATATATATATATATAAAGAATAAAAAAATAAGCTCAGCTGCTACGAAGAAACACGACTGGGATAGAGTTAACCGTTCAGAAAACTTAAAACTCTCCCTACAGCGTTATGAGATCTATTTAATATATCATAAAACTCCTGGAGATTTCTGGAAGACCAAGTGTAAGATGAGTAATGCAGAAACGAGCTTATTAAGTGGTAACTAGAATGAGATAGTCAGCGATGCGTGGCCGCTGGCCGGCCGTGCGTGACCGCGCAAAATGACTTACTGCATGCAAACTAGATGTAGCTAATAAATTAATATTTATCATATTAAAGCTATTATTATTAATCTGAATGAAGTAAATCTATGATAATAAAATAATAATCTATATTTTTAGTTAAATTCATTATCAGTTAAAATAATATAGGCGACGTGCTGAAGAAGGGCCAAATTAAAAGTACCCGTAACCGGCGAGCGTGTATGAAAAGATTGATGAATGTGGAAGAAGCGAAAGAGGTTTGTTTAAATCGAAGCATTTGGCGTTCTATTGTTTCTGCCTAACCTAATGGGAGACAGGCGTGACAGATATGTATATGTATGTATTAAAGTAATATTTATGATCCGTACCCGACCCAAAGGTCCGCGGGGAAAGGGATTGTTAGTAATGGAGGTCAAATAGCCCCATTACTACATTACCCCATTACTATACCCTGTCAGGTCGATCTCCACGTTCCCCCTGGGAACCATCGTGAACAATTCTAGTTGAATTCGTCACGATGGGCTAACTGACCCGCTTCATCCTCACCTATCATCTCTCACTGGTGCCCCGCCGGTGTATACCGATAGCGCAGGAGGGGTTACCATTCCATTATCACTTATTAAAAAAAAGACCCAAAGGTCCCCACGACACTTGCGGTATTTCCGCGTTGTATTGCCAGAAATATCCTTTCAGCCAGCCTTTTTAGTTAATATATTTTAGGATATAATTTAAAGTCTTGTTCATCTTCTTTCTTTCAAAAAGTCTTCTTTCTTTTCATTTAAGTTTTCTCTTAGTTAGGAAAGTAATTAAAAAAAATCCACATTAATACAGTTATGAAGATAATTAAGATCGTGCTACACAAACGAAACAAACTGCAAATGATGCAAAATCAGTATATAACTGATTTTGCATCATTTGCGATGATTTAAAACTAAACTATTATGATAAAATTTCTATTGGACCAATATCTAAGTACATCCTACCTTTAATACATTTCAGATTAAAAAAGAATTATCGAAATCGGTTTACAAGTGACAGAGCTATGAAGTAACAATGATATAAAAAAATATAACGGAGTTGAGTATCTTCTTCTTTTTGAAGTCAATTGAAGATAAAATGGTCATGTGAGTAAACCTATCAATTAAAAATAATTATCGAAATCGATATAAAGTGAGCAATAATATCACGTACTAGTAATGTATAAAAATGCATAAAAAAGTATAACATATGTATTTTATTTGAGACTTGAAAATTTCTTAATTTTAAGTATTTAAAAAACAAGATATCTACAGGTATATTATTGAAAAAGATTCCAAATTATAATAATGTAAAAAAAAAAATAGGAAATTTTTGAATTGCATTCGGTTGTCTTGTCAATCAATGCAACGTGTCGAAGCGATCGATGTGTGAATGTATCCATTTAATTTTATCAGATCCGACGTCTGACCATGCTGCTGACAGTTCATATTGCACTATACCTACTTGTACATTGTGAGATTGTTAAATTTTCAATATATATGTGTATATTTATTCAATTATTTCAATATAATATATTATATATGTATATAGCTGTACAGACAAAATGTAACAATCATTTCTATTTCTATATCTAATTATTACATACTTAATCTAATTATTTACATGTAAATATTTATTTATATTATGATATAAAATATTTGAAGTAACTAAAATAATATTATTGTAATTAGATTATTTTATTTTTTTGTACATATTGTTATATCTTTGTGTAATATTGTTAAAGTGTTTTCATTCATTCATTTTTCATTATTAGATTGGATATAGTATTAGTTCATAGTTTAATATATTTAATTTTATAAACAAATAGGTATCTATTTTTCAGTCCCTTAATCTGTGTTAGTATTAAAGTTATCTCCCTTACAGGTTTCCATGGAAATTATAAATAGTTAAAATTATAAGTAAAATTTCATAGTTAGTTTTATTCGAAACCATTTTATATGTATGTATAAAATATTTGTCTTCAAAGTTTGCATTATAAGTTTAAAAGTTAAAAGACCATTTTTATTTTAAATTAAATATTGAATAATATTAATTAAATTTGTATATATTTAATCGTATATATAATAAAAAAACATTTTTGAATATTTTATTTATTGAATCATTTTTTAATTAAATATAGAACAACTTATTCACCGATAATTTAGCTTAATACAAGTAATTTTTTTTTAAACAATTAACTATTTTTGAGTTTATTTAATTTCGAACAAATTTTCTCCTTATAATATTTTTTATTGTATTTTTTAGGCTTACCCACAACCGTAGGCTCCAAGTCGACGAACACAGCCCTGGGCACATGTTTGCCCGCACCCGTCTCGCTGAAGAAGGTATTGAATGAGTCGTCCCCACCGCCAAGGGTTTTATCCGACGGCATCTGCCCATCAGGTTGGATGCCGTGCTCCAGGCAGTACAGCTCCCAGCACGCATTGCCGATCTGGACGCCGGCCTGGCCGATGTGGACGGAGATACATTCCCTCTGGAAAAATTAATTAGCATTAAAATATTTTGTATTGTAATTTGGTATTATCATTCTGTCTGCAATGCATTTGAGGTCGTTGCTCCATTTAGTGGGGATCGTCATACACTGTTTTTACGGTTCGGAGCCATTCCTTATGGCAGACTATGGAATAAGTTCATGTCCAGCAGTGGACAGATATTTTATTTTTATTTATTTATTTACAAGAAACATGGTAAGTGTATAGAAGTTACAATAAGTATAAGTCCTCATATTTCGCCATAATTAGGCATGCAAATATTAAAACTTAAAAAGAATAAATGTTAAATAAGTCATTAAAATTCGAAATGTTATATAAAATCAGAGGGAGACTTTGTACAAAAGTCGATTGCTTGGGTACCTCTGTCTCATTCGTGTTACAACCGTGAAGCAGTTGTGTTTGCATGGCTGTGTTTCGGTATGAAGGGTTAGATATGGCGTGAATTTACAGGGTACAGAGGAATAACACCTGAGTCCTCAGAAATGGCAACGCATGAGGTAATAGAAAAGGTATACTCTGTTATGTCCATGGTACTGTTGTTTATAGGCGATAGTTACCACTTTACATCAGGTGGGCCGTCAGCTTGTTTGTCATTATAAGTTAAAAAAAAAAAAACTAACTAACTAACTGCTAACAATCCCTTTCCCCCCTGTAATTAGGAGACTATAAAAAACAAATGTCAATTCATTACACTTTCTAAATGACAATATTATCTTCAAATCTACGAATAATGGAATAAAGAGTTTAGTTCAATGACGTTTTATTAGGTAGCTACGTAAACGTTAAAGCTCTAATATCCGGCTTTGAATAGGACAATATAAATGTTGACATTCTTCAAGAAAAGTGATTCATTGTTCGACTAATACCTATTTTCCAGTCATTCTCTGTGGTTTATGGAAAAAAATATGAAAGTTTCATTTGAGAATATTATTATAGGAGGTACAAGTCAATACAGATCGATTGTTATAACCAGCGGACTCGGCAAACGTTGTTTTACATTATTTTTAGAACTATACATGAAAATTTATCTTACTATAAATATTATATTCGATTGCCATCTTGCAACCCTATAGCGGTATATAAAAATTGCAATTAAAAAATAGGGGTTGTTTTTATTTTAGTCTAATATGCCTAAAAGCTATTCTGCCTAGTACTAAAATATTTCTGAACTAGAAGGTCAAAATACCTACTTGTTATATTGTTTACCTACCAAGAAAACCCTGGTGTTAGTGTTCTCTCATGAATTTGACATGGTTCATGTTATGACAACCACTACCATCAGAGATATTAATGACTTTACGTAGGTTGATAGGTAAGTAACTATTTATTTATTTTGTAGTTTTCAGTGCACATAAAATAAAACCGTTTAACTTAAAAGTTTTTTTACCGATTTTTATTTTCTTGTTTTTAGTATTTAGTGAAATTGTTTACCGAATATTCCTCATTCTATTTAATTCATTCAGTGCATCATTATTACATGGTTTCTTACCTGATAATTTAGTACAATCTAATTCCTCAATACATAGCCCTTCCAGAGACTTGACTCGACTTAGAGCCACGTATGCTTGTCCTTCCTCAAACCATTTTGAGCCCAAATATACTACTGTATGGTCGACGGTGCTGCCCTGCATTTTATAGACGGTGAATGCTCATGACAAAACTAAGGGTAACATCCTTTTTTCAGCCGTACCATAATTGAAAAAATGGCTTTAGGGTAAATAACGTGCATGCCGTCTGTGCCAAAGTCAATTAAAACTGATGATATATCTGTTTCGTACATTTGGGTTCGACGGAACTGAGGCCAAAAAATTTCTGTAATGTGGCCTATAGCGTCAAAATCCTTTTGTAACGTCAATGTTGGACTGCAACATTACTTTTCTCTTATTTATATTTGTTGGTATTTTTTGTTTATTGTTACCATGTTGTTCCCACGATTATTTTGCACACAAAAGGCTTAATATACAACAAGAAATCTTGAGGGGGAAGCGCTTACGACATTACATTTTTATCCACCCTAATGCCATACAGTCCTCGGCTCGTTTTAACCTATTACCTTAACTTGGGTGGTATAACTACCGCTTACTAACGAGGTATCTAATTACCTATTTTTTTTTTATCTGCCCCTCTAACGTCACACAATTTTAGACGCAACTGTTCTCGATACGACGAATCATGCCCCCACCTAATACGCCATTTTGTATATATAATTTTGACATAATGAAATTCTATTTAGTCCTATTATTTGATACCCATATTTGGTGGTTGTGGAAAAATATTAAAATGGAAGCGTCCATCTTGAATTTAAAATTTTGAATAATCATCGTGTTTTATAGAGCCCTTTCATTTGATACATATTGCGGGGGTTGAGGAAAAATATGTAATCCGCCATTTTGTATCGGCGGCCATCTTAGATTTATAATGTTATTGATTTTATTATATTGTATTGTCATCTAAATTAAATGTGTGTACCAAATTTCAGATCAATCTGACAACGGGAAGGTGCTTAAATTCCAATTTCTAATTTTGACCCAAATAAATAAATACCGTACAGGTCGAGCTAAATAAAACCGTTTAAAAATACATTTCAGAGATGTCCAGACCTTATACTAACAATAATTATTCTAATTACAATAAAAATAATAAATAGCACGTACATTTTTTTATAACGTCCTATGTGATACATTCATTATTATTCTTCATTTATTAATATTGTTTTTCTATATTCATATTTATACTGCCTATTTTAATCTTGGTATTTGATCCTCACGTTAAGTCTACTTAGTTCCTATTATTTTTATTTTAGAATAAAACACAGTTAAAAAGATATAATACCTAGCATGGATTTCATAAAAAAAAATTACTACATACGTCAAACTAGGCTGTATGGGCTTCGTACTCTTTGGCTATCTTGCAAAAATAAAAAAAAAAATAAAAATATAAGAACATTAATTTGCAAACATAGACGTGATGTCTGTGCTGTTCAGTCAATAAAAAACACTTATGAAAGTATTATTTGTTCCTTTTTTCAGATAATAGTTTCAATCGACTCTATAAACTGACTTTGGTGTTACAAAGTCGGTTGTCACTCTTGTACACCTATTTATTTCGTTACCCTTTTATCCGACATTCTTTCATATATTGTACTTTTAAATTAGTATAATAGGTGCGTGACTATATTGTCCACGATAACCGAAAATTGGAACAGAGGGCGGCAGTTGTGAGTGAACGGTGATGTGGGGAAGGGGGCAGTCGGGCAACGACCTGAGCTCTGAAAAAACCTGTCTTCATTTATTTGATACGTACTTCTGACAAATGTTTGTTGCCCCTAGCAACCGACGGCAAAATATCTTCAGCTTAATCCTACAAGCGCTAACTGCTAAAGCTGGCTTTTATCACGTGAAATTAAAAGAGATTAAAAACAATTTCGCGGTCGCAAGACTGCTTGGTCAGTCGTTTTTGGTAAGCGAAGGCAAATGTAGGTCAAATTTTATATGTACGTATATTTCATAGGTTTCCTTTGTCTCGGTTTTTTCATTAATATTTAATTCTCCGTAATAAATCCTTTTTTTTGTATGAATTAGAATGAAAAATAAACTGATGGCATAGCTAATGGTGTCCATCTTGGATATAGACTCATAGCTATGCCCAACTTTTTTTTATTAAGGGAACTGTTAATAAAGCACCATGGATATAACAGAATGCACTGTGATAATCGCAGCATTAATAGAACTAAAACATCCACTAAAACATCCACCGTCACGGTTAAATCATAACGGATAGTCTTTCTTTTATACAACTTAGAATGGCAAACAAGCTGACGGCCCACCTGATGGAAAGTGGTAACCGTCGCCTATAGACATGAGCAGTACCATGGACATAACAGAGTATACTGTTTCGCCCATGATACCCCGCATGCATTGTCAATCCCAAGGACTTAGGTGTTATTCCTCTGTACCCAGGAAATTCACGCCATATCCCACCCTTCAAACCGAAACAGAGCCATGTAAACACAACTGCTTCACGGTTGAAACACGAATGCGACAGAGGTACCCAAGCAATCGACTTTTGTACAAAGTCTCCCTCTGGTAACTCACTTACACACTGTAAGTGTGTACTTACACACTTACACATGGTAACACACTGGTTAGTAACTTAATGATATTCATCTACAGAGATCCTCTAAAGTATGAGTCCTAAAAGTTATAATTTATTTATTGCTGCTTTAATGTTAATAGTAATAAACTTTAATATACTGATTATTTAGAATCTGGATCAAAATATCGAATAATTTTTACTCCAATAAAATGTCTCAATTGGTCGTGAAGTCTTTTTTTTGTGGGTGATAATGGTATGGTAACCCCGTCTGCGCTATCGGTATACACTGGCGGGACACCATTGAGTGATGATAGGTGAGAATTAAAAAGTAGGTCAGTTAGCCCATCCTGACGAATTAAACTAGAATTAGTCACGATGGTTTCCAGGGGAACCACGTGTAGATCGACCTGATAGGGTATATTGCTAGTAACAGGGCTATTTGACCCCATTACTAACAATCCCTTTCCCCCCTGGTCGTGAAGTCGTCACACCGAAGTCACACAGTAGGTAGTTAGCACTTAAATAACTGAGAGATAAAAGGCAATTTAACGGAAATTACAATAAAATATTTGGCTTTGACTAATAAATAAGTTACAAAGCAAATGTCTTACGTAAAAGATTTAAATTTTATTGCCGTGACCAAAGTTAACGTCATGCAATAAACATTTTTGAATCTTGATTTACGATTGAAGATATAAGTAAATTGCATTATAGGTTTAAGTAGACACTTGTATGTGTTCTAACAGTGATAGCAAATAATAATTTTTTGTTATTATTGTAGTAAACATTGCTATAGTTTGTTTTTGCGATGTTATAAATTATACCAACCAAATTTTATGAGTATTGATTTTTTTTTAATGGGAGAAAATGATATAGTGACCCCGCC